ACCTGCTCACTACTCGAGGCCCGTTACCCCCCCACCCCCACCCTACCAGAACACACCTCTCCCCCGCTCCACCACCCACCCCCCCTCATGCAGTTCAATGGTCACCAAGTTTGGCCTGTCATCCATCTGCGGTTATCAGACGGTGTGGGGCGTCACCCCCGCCCTCCACTCCCCCCTCATGTCCGTCACCAACGCCATCTCCGGCCTCACAGCCGTGGGCGGCATGGTGCTGGCAGGCGGCGGCCTGGTGCCCGGCAGCGCAGCCCAGGCGCTGGCCGCGGTGGCGGTGGCGGTGTCGGCAGTCAACATCGGCGGAGGGTTCACCATCACGCAGGTGGGCTGCCTGCGGGTGTGATGCATGAGACAGAGCGGCGCCTGCTGCCCACAGAGCGGCGCCTGGGAGTGCCTGCTGTTCCATTCACAAGCAAGGCTGGCTCTCGGCGCCAAACACCCTCCCCACACAGCCATGTCACAGCCATTTCATCACACGCGTACCCCCATTTTGCCCCTCCCTCCCTCCCCTGGCCTGCCACCCTCCCCGCAGCGCATGCTGGACATGGGACATGTTCAAGCGCCCCGACGACCCCCCAGAGTTCAACCACCTGTACGCGCTGCCCGCAGCCGCCGCGCTGGCAGTCTACGGGGCAGGTCACGCAGCGGGTGCGCTGGGTGTGCTGGGGCTCAGCGCGGGGCAGCAGAGGGCTGGCTGCTCTGTGCTGCCCACGGTGCAGCCTGCCGGCGGCGGCATGGCTGTGAGCCAGCTGACTGCTTCCGGGCTGGCGGGGCGTTCCAGGGCCCAGCGGGCGTTGTTTGGGGCAGACATCGGCGAGTGTGCTAGCCCACTGAAGAGTGTGCGGCCCATTGCTGCCTGGCGCCCCGCCTCACTTGCTCTGCCCTCGCCCTTCCCTCCATGCTGGCGGCAGGGTATGACCAGATGGAGGCGCTGTCCTACCTGGCCGCCACTGGGCTCTGCATCGGCGCTATAGCGTGCCTGGCGCACCACAACACGGCTCGCCTCGGTGCGTTGAGAGGGCGTTGGGCCCCTGCCTGTTCCTTAGCTCCGTATGTGGTGCCGCCACAGGGCAGCCTTTGCAGCGCCCTGCCATCGGTGCGGCAAGACCCCAAGCGCCGCTCGCGCTCATTGCACCGCCTGCCTGTACTGCTGCAGGCAACACGCTGGGCATGCTGGGGGTACTCATTGGCGTGGCCACCGCCCTGGGCTCGCTGGCGGCGGTGCCGCAGACCTATGCCCAGATCCTGGCGCTGCTGGTCGCCGGGGCGCTGGCTGGCGCGGCGGTGGCCCGCCGCATCCTCATCACCAGCCTGCCGCAGATGGTGGGTGGGCGGGGCGGGCGGTCTTGGTGGGCGGGCCGGCAGCAGGCAGGCCCTGGCATGCTACGGCTTGCTTGGCAGGGTGGGCGGGGTGGTGCCCCAGCCGTCAGTAGCTGAGCCTCTTCCCCCACTTTCCCCTTTTCCTGCCCCAGGTGGCCGCCTTCCACTCGCTTGTAGGCCTGGCCGCCGTCTGCACCTCCATCAGCAGCTACCTGGCGGGGGGTGAGGCCGGGAGTGTGCTATGTGTGATGTGGCGTGTGGCAGGAACTGAGAGGAACTGCCTGGGGTGGTGGGGGTGCCCTCTGCGCGTGGCACCTACTCCCTCCCATCTTGCACCCCGTCCTCTCCCCGACGACCCTGCCACAGAGCCGCTGCACGTGGACGGCGTGCACCTGGTGACCACCCTGCTGGGCGCCTTCATAGGGGCCATCACACTCACCGGCTCCGCGGTGGCCTTCGGCAAGCTGCACGGCCTGCTCAAGTCGGCGCCGCTGCGGCTGCCCGGTGAGCGGCGGCGCCTGTGGCCGGCTGCCTGTCCCGTCCTCAGCTTCCGGCCCTGTGCTGCTTTATCCAGCCGCCTGCAGCCTCGCTTCCTCCCACACGTCTTGTGGCACGGGACTTGCACAGCAATGTGTGCTGCGCATGCTGGGCCGTGCGCAGGCAAGAATGTGTGGAACCTGCTGCTGCTGGGCGGCAGCGTGGCGGCAGCCTACGCCTTCCTGGCGCAGGCCACCACCGACCGATCTGTGGGCATCGCCGCCCTGGGTGCGCCTGCTGTGCCATGCCTGCTGCGGCATGCCTGCTGCGCCATGCCTGCTGCGCCATGCCTGCTGCGCTATGTGCCTCATGCTCAGCACCAGCAGCTGGCAGCTCACGTTGCCGCACCCGCCAACTCATCTCTGCCGCCGCCGCCGCTGCTTCCTGCGAGGGCAGCCGCCACCAGCGGGCTGGCTGGCGTGCTGGGAGCCCACATGACCGCCTCCATCGGCGGCGCAGACATGCCCGTGGTCATCACCCTGCTCAACAGCTACAGGTGGGGCGCGGATGGCTGGCTTAGTAGGCTGGCTGTGGGATGGAGGCAGCCCAGAGTGTGCCGGAGCCCGGCACAAGTGCCTCCTCCTCGCCTCCTTCTCTCGTCCCTCCCCCAACACCCGCCTCCCTCTGTCCCCCACCCCCCGCTGCAGCGGCTACGCGCTGTGCGCCGAGGGCTTCATGCTGCAGAACGACCTGCTGACGTGTGTGGGCGCGCTCATCGGCAGCAGCGGCGCCATCCTCTCCTACATCATGTGCCGCGCCATGAACCGCTCCCTGGCCAACGTCATCCTGGGAGGCTACGGCACCGGCGGCGGCGGCGGCAAGGGCGGCAAGGGCGCTCAGGCCCAGGGCTCGCACACGGTGAGGCAGCCAGCTGGGCCGGGGCGCCGAAAGCGCTAGCTACGCCCGCCACCCCTTGCCTGCCTGTCTGCCTGCCTGCCTGCCTGCCTGCTTGCCAGCTGGCGCTGCATTGTGCCGGAGTTCCCCTCCACCCTGCCCCCCGCCCCCACTTTTCCCGCCCTGCAGGAGATTGATGTGGCGGGGGCCGCTGAGGCCATCCTGCACAGCCGCTCGGTGCTGATTGTGCCCGGCTACGGCCTGGCGGCGGCCAATGCTCAGTACGCCATCGCCGAGCTGGCCAAGCAGCGGCGGGCGGCGGGGGCCGAGGTCAAGTGAGTGGGCTGTGGTTGGATGGGCAGTGTGCATGCGTGGGTTTGTTTGGTTGGTGCACCATGCAGCCGCTTGCCCCTGGGCCCCTCCCCGCAGGTTTGGGATCCACCCCGTGGCGGGCCGCATGCCCGGCCAGCTCAACGTGCTGCTGGCGGAGGCAGGTGGGCGCCTGCTGTACTGAGCTGCTTGGTGCCGCATCCCGCCAGTGCTTGAGGACCTTCTGTGCCAACGTGCGTACCGTCGCAGGTGTGCCGTACGACATTGTGGAGGAGATGGATGAGGTCAACCCCAAGGTACGCAGCCGCCTACCTAGCATGCATGCCACTCCACGCATGCTTACTGCCCTGTTCCTCCGCCGTTGCTTGTTGTCTGATGGGCTGATGTTGCCCGCACCGCCCGCACCGCTGGCACCGCCCTCCCTGCCTGCAGATGGAGTCGTTCGACCTGGTGCTGGTCATCGGCGCCAACGACACAGTCAACTCTGCCGCCCTGGAGGACCCACACTCGGTCATCGCAGGCAAGCGCGGCGTGGCGTGGCGGGGGCGGCGGCGCTGCAAGGTTGGGGCAAATGCCTGGCATGTTGACCTGCTTGCTGGCGACCCACCTGTGCCCTTCCTGCACTTGTTGCTTCCCGGTGCAGGCATGCCGGTGATCGAGGTGTGGCGCAGCAAGCACGTCATCGTAATGAAGCGGACCATGGGCGCAGGATGTGAGTAATGGGCAGCTCAGGAGGGATGGGTGGTTGAGGGAGATGGGGTGCCGCCCGCTGCGAGCTGCACGGGGGCTGTGCAGCTGTGGGACCTGTCTGATGCACCAGGCATTTGAACGGCTTGTGCTGTTGCCTGCAGATGCCGGAGCAGACAACCCCGTGTTTTACAAGCCCAACACATCCATGCTGCTGGGCGACGCTCGGGCTGTCTGCGATAGGCTGCGCGCCGCGGTGGCGGAGCACAGGGGCTGATATGGCCGGCGCAGCCGGCCCAGCCATCGTTCACTCACAGCAAAACCCTCTCGATGCAAGTGTACCTGACTTTGAATTTTGTATTGGTGTACTGGTTTCCTTGGTGCTGACAGCGATGCTACCTACCTCCTGCTGAAGGATTGCTGTTGTTTTTCACCAACTACTTATGACATGATAAGCTATAGATTTTAGCGCACTCGGCAATGGCCCCTAGCAACTGATGATCACCATTCATGAATGACTGAACCCGAGCGCTGTAACCGATCTCTGTCGGTGCTGTTCAAATTGCATGTGTTTTAAATATCGTGAAGCTCATCAAATGCTGACAGTAAACATTGATAGAGATGTTCATGCAGTTGAGTTCCATCACCCACGCGCCCGCTTGTTGCCGCCGCCCTCGCTGTCGCTGTCGCAGGTCCTGTCCCGCTTCCGCGCCTGGCCCGCAGCGCGCCCCTCTGCTGTTGCTGGCTGCTGCGGCGCCCCCTCCTGCGCCTGCTCCTCCTGGCCCTCGCCATCAGACTCATCGAACAGCGACCTGATTGCCTGCCGCTCAGCCTCCACATCCAGGTCCGCAGGCGCCGCCGCCCTGGCGGCCTTGCAAGTTGAGGCCACTGGAGCAGCTGCCTCCGCCACCATGCCACTGCTCAGCGCCAGACGTGCGTCCTGGGAGGGCGGAGGCGCTGCCAGCAGTGCTGCCGGGGGCGAGCTGTCGGCGAAGACAGCGGCAGCGCACAGCAGCAGCTGAGGCCACCTGCTGCTGCCAGGGGTGCCGCTGCCGCTGCCACCCTCGGCAGCGGCGCCGCCGCTCTGGGGCGCCGTCTGAGATGTGGGGGTGGCTTGCTCTGGTGCCGAAGGCCCAGCAGGTGCAGGCTCGGGTGCAGCAGCTGCCACAGACGCAGGCAAGGCGCGTATCGGCGTCAGCTGTTGGGCGGGCTGGGGAGGCGGGGCAGGGGATGCCTGGGTGAGCAGGCTGCCCATGAGGGAATAGACCGACCCTGCTGAGCTCCTGCTGCTGGCCACGGCAGCTGTGCCAGCGGCACCTGGGGGCGCAGCGGCTGCCACTGCAGCTGCCGCTGCACCGGCAGGGTATGCAGCCGTCCCAGGGAAGGCTGCAGGTTGCTGAGGCTGGAGATGGGCATTCTGTGGCGACAGAGCGGGCACAGCTGGGCGGGGTTGCGGGTCCTTTGGCGGCACGTAGCCAAGTGGCAGCATGCCTGCCGCCACCTGGACGGCTGGTCCCTCCTGGCGCTGAGGTGCTGCTGCTGCCACTGGCGAGGCGGCCTCTTGCAGCAGGAAGGCAGCCTTGCTGCGCACAGCAGCCGCATCCCTCAGCTCGGCCGCCAGCTGGTCCACCTCTGACTGCGGCAAAGAGGGGAGCAGAGGGGCCCCATGCAGCCCAGACATCACCCAGTGCATCGCGCCTTCCTGCCTGGAGCTGCAGGGCAGTGTATCGGCCAGCTTGCTTGCTTTCGAAGTACCTGCGGCATGGCCTGCTCCTCAGCTGCGGCTGCCTGGCCATTGTCTTCCCCAGCAGGCGGGCACAGCAGCCTGAGCACGTGGTCCCGCCACAGCGCCGCCACCTCCAGCCGGTGTGTGGTGGTCGCCACGGCGGCCAGCGTGAGCCACGGCTGGCCAGACTGGCAGCAGTGGGCCGCCAAGGCAGCCAGCTCCTGCAGGAACAAACCGCAGACAGGTGGGCAGGCTGGAAGTTCAGTAGACACCCCACCCATCGAAGCAAGGGTAGGCAGCAAACACAGCGTGGAAAATGCGGCAGCCCGTGGAGTGCTGTTGCCCACCTGGCTGCCGCTGCGCTGCCACTCCTGGCCCAGGAAGGGGGGCTTGCTGCTGACCATGTGTGCCTGGATCGGGGCAGTGAAGCCCTGCAGGCAGCAGAGGCACCCAGAGATGGGCTGTCACGTGGCAACGAATGTGATGAGGCAGGCTTGGCGCTCCCCGTCCTGGCTCACCCGCACATGCAGGCGCAGGCTCCCATCTGGTGCCAGGGAAGTGCCGGTCAGGGGATGCAAGTGGTAGGTGCCGCTGCACTAGGCAGGGACGTGGATGGGTCGACGTGAGCGCCACTTTGCGCACCTCATCAGAGCAGGCCTCCCAGCCAAGGAAGGGCCACCAGCCCTCCCCCAGCCACGGAGCTGAGCAACCCCGCAGCTCAGAACACAAGTGGTGGGCCTTACTTGGGACTTCTGAGCCGCACCAGGGCTCCCACCAGCGTGCTCACCCCGGCGTGGCGCTCTGCCATGCAGACGGGCAGAAGCTCCTCGAGGGGGCGTGAGGAGCTGGAAGGCATGCTGCGCCGAATAGGCCCAAAGCATGACCACAGCAGGCAGGGCACCTCACATCCAGATCCAGCACCAGGCACTCACCCAGCAGCAGGCGCTCCACCGCCTCCAGCCCACCCTCCAGCTGGCATCGGCTGACAAACACGGAGGACAGCAGGGCGCGGGAGGGCGGCAGCTGCTCCACCAGCCGCCGGGCCAGGGCCTGCTGCTGTGGGGCTACTGGCTTGGGTCCAGGGCCCTGCTGCTGGGATGCTGTCACTGCCAAATCCATGGCCCCTGCTGAAGGCAGCACGGTAGCCCCCTGGCCACTCGGCGCCCGCCGACGGCTGCCCGCCTCTGGTGCGACGACGCCTGCTGGCAGTGGCTGCTGCAAAGGCGGCATGTTCTCATGCCGTCCTGTTGCTCCCCCTGTTTCCTTGACACTGTTTGCCTCGGGCTCGTTCTGGCTGATGCTGACTGCCGGCCAGCGGCCGCAGTGCTCAGCCCGCTGCTGCCTGGGCTGCCCAAAGTCGCGGGGAGGCGGCGGCGGTGGCGGCGGTGGCGGCGGCGGCTGGTGCCGTTGCCCGGCATAGAGCGCTGGAGGCTGCAGCGGCGCCATTTGGGCGGGCAGCTGCATCTGGAAGAGCTGGTGCAGCAGCTGCTGCTGCTGCGTGCCAGCACGCAGGCCACGCTGGGGCAGCGCTGCCGCCCAGAGCGACGCGGGCGGGGCCGCCGCTGCCGCCGCCCAGGCAAACCCAGGAGGCAGCGCGGGGCTGCCCACTGGCCAGCCTCCTGCTCCTGGCCAGCCAGCACTACCCATTACTGCTTCTCCACGACAGGAAACGGCTGCTCCCGCCCGCTGACCAGAACTTCCAGCTGTCAAGCGCTGCCGCCCCTGGACCAGCTCCTGCCTGTTGACCAGGCTCCTCTGGAGCAGGCTACGACAGTTAGTGCACTGCTGCCCAGGGCCCAGTCAGGTGAAGGTGGTTCGTGTGTTGTTCAAACGTGCTGGTCAGCCCCGTGTATTTCAAGCCTGCCTGCCCTTTTCGAGGCTCCTGTGGACGTATGACCTCCGACTGGGATCTGCTCTTCAGCAGAGCCCAGTTCTTTCCAGCTGTGCAAAGGTCAGCGGGAGCGCCCGGCAGTCGGGGGTCCGGGGGATCTACCATGCCATGCCATGCCATGCCCTGAATGCCATGTATCTGGGGGTTTGTTGCAAGAAGCATCTTGAACACGAGGTCAGCGCTCAATACTGGAGCAGCACGCGCAACAGCACAACCGCAATGGCCCATGCGGCCGCCACGACAGCCGCCTCCGTGCCGCGGCCCGCCACCAGCCAACTTGCGGCGTCGCTGCTGCCACCTGCTGCCTCCAGCTGCTGCCACAAGGGCAGGAGCTGCTGCCGATGCTGATGCTGATGCCAGCATTGCTGCTGCCCTTGCCGCGCAGCGGCCGCTGTGCCGTGCCCCCGCTGCTGCTGCGCCGCCAGCTGCAGCAGCGCCGCGGCTGCGCGGCTGCCCTCTGCGCCCGCTCCCACGCACCCGACCGGGGCTGGAGAGGCGCCTCCCGCTGCTGGAGCCCCTGGCATTGCAGCGCCGAAGAAGTCGGTGACTGCGACCCGGGCGGGGTGGCGGGGCGACAGGTCGGTGCGCACCTGCACCTCTGACGACAGCCGCTGCGCACCCAGGTAGTCCAGCAGCTGCTGCAGGCTGGGGCTGGGGCCCGGCCCGCTGCCGCTGCTGCCACTGGTGGCGCCGCTGCGGGCGTCGTGGCCGGGCTCCGTGTCTGCGGCGGGGTGCGGGGGCAGGCGCCACAGGAACTGGTGCAGGTGGAAGCTGAGCTGGTCCACCACATGCTGCCCCACCACCGGGTCGATGTGGTGGGCGTAGGAGCTCTGGCCTGCGGGGCGCGTGGCGTGGCAGGACAGCTCAGGCCACAGCAGGGCAGGGAGGTTTGCTGCTGCAGGAGCGGGGAGCAGGCGCGGCAGGAGGCAGCCCAAGGCTGGCCGGCAGGCAGGCTGCCTCGCCAGGCACCAGGGGCCGCCCGGGCGCTCACCCAGCTTGCTGCTGGCCACTGCCAGCACGTTGGGCGCGGCGGCGGCGGCGATGCGCCCGTACAGCGTGCTGGCCTGGCAGGTGTCTGCCACCAGCAGCAGCTCGCCGTACCGCCCCGCCGCCGCCATCTGGTGCACCGCCCCCGCAATGTCGGCAGCCAGCAGCTCCTCCTGTAAGAAGGCATCGGGGAGCGTGGCATCATCGCGGCAGGCAGCATGCGGCACGGGCAACGAGGCACCGGCCGACACACTGGCGCCAGCCAAGCCACCAGTCGCCAGCCCTCGCCGCTGCCCGCCTCGGCTGCCTGCCAGGCTGCCCTGGAGGGTGGAGCCCGCGGTGGCGGTGGAGGGAGGCCACCCCAGCGGGGCCGCACCTCATCGTGGAATTTGAGGAACTCGTCGCCGCCGTGGCCGGTGAGGTAGAGCAGCACGCGGGAGGCGGGGCCGGAGCGCAGGCGCTTGGAGGCGGGGGTGCCCGGCGGGTGGCGGCCTGCGGCGCGCGGGGGAGGGGAGGTAGAGGGCGGCATCGAGGAGGGGTAGCAAGCAGCAGAGGCGTGCACGCTGCCGGCCTGCTGAGGCGGCGGCTACCCCGACCTGTGCTCACCTGTCAGCACCCTCAGCACGCTGTCCACGCTGACCTCCCGCCCCCGGTAGTCCACCTCCGCATCGCCGCTCAGCAGGTTGAGCATGGCGCCGCTGCTGCCGCCAGCTGCTGCGCCAGCCCCCGGCGCCAGGTAGAGCTGGCCGGGATGGACGTTGCGCGGCGAGCAGGCGGGCTGCTCCGCAAGCATCAGGATGATGCGGCTGTCGGGGATGCCCAGCCTGCAGGGCAGGGCAGGGGGGTGGATCAATGCCTGAAACAGGAAGAGCAGGGGTGCGAGCCTCCTGCCTGTCCGCAGCTGTGGCGGGGCGCCAGGGAGACTGCCTGCGCGGCGCCGTCCGCTTTCCCTGATCCCCTGCACCCCTGCACGCCAGCCCACGGACCTCCTGACGGCCTGGTAGACGCCCAGAGCGTTGCTGCTGTGCCGGTAGTTCAGCCAGAAGCGAGAGCTGCTGATGATCACGGCCCAGGTGTCGCTTGGCCCTGACATGGCCGCCCCGTTGCGCACCACACATAGGAGGGCCAGCAGCAGGCGTCCTGCTAGCAGAGCTCCAGCTTTGTTTCCCATCGCAGCCGCCCCCGGCGCCAGGGGGGCTGAATGCAGCGTGAGCTAACAACAATGATTGTGTCCCCGATGCACAGCTTCTGTTTGAAGAGGTGGGCCGGCCAAGGGGGCGCAAGAACCCTATCCGAGCCCCGCCACTGCCCCGTCCCCCGGCGATCGTGAAAAGCGATTCTGGGGGTCACTTTCGCCGTCCAACTACATGCACGGCCTGATGGTACAGTTTGTAGTACAGGCTGGCAGAAACTGTAGGAGCCCTTAAACAAGCAGCGCACGAGCCCAGGCGCCAGAAGTCGGTTGTATTGCATTTAATCAGCATGGCGCCTGCCTAGTGAGCGGCCGAGCGCGACTCTGCTGCCCCCGCGCCTGTGAGGCCCTCCAGCCACAGGTCGCCCTGCCCGCGGCGGGGCATCGGCGTGGGCCATGCCCGCAGAGGCTGTTCTGGAAGGACTTGCCCTGGGCTCCTACCCCAGCCAGCCCATCGCGGACATTGCTGTGGACGTGGCGCTGCTGCTTAAGGATCATTTCAAGGTTCAGGGATCTGATGGGCAGGGGGACCAGGCGCAATCCTCGCCCCCCAGGCTGACGAGCTTGCCCCAAGCGACGGTACTATGGGAGCGGCCGGAGTGGGCGCAGCTTGCGGGCTGCGCTAGCCTGGCCGACGCGTTGCAGCAGCTGGCCACATCGGGCCTGGCAGAGAAGGTGAGCGGCAGAGCGGATGCTGCCTGCTGGGGAGCAAGGAGAGCTGGATAACTGCGGCCGGGCCCGCCCATGTGTTGACGCCTTTTGTTGCCACCGGGACGCCGTTCGCTCCGCTATCGAGGGCTGCCTGGTTCCCTGCAATCCATCGCCGCATGGAAGCCATGCATCCATGTGGCGTGCACTGCCCTCCCCTTGCCCCACCCCGCCCGCAGCTCTACTCTGAGCTCTTTGGCGGCGGCTCCGATGGCGGCGCCGCCGGCGAGGAGGCGGAAGAGGGCGAGATCACACAGCCGCCCCCGCCGCCGCAGCAGCAACCCCCACCGCAGCAGGTGCAGCAGCAGGCATCCCAGCCGCAGCAGGAGCAGGCGGCGGCGCCGCCGGAGCTGACGCCGCCGTCGCCGCAGCATTCGCCGGCCGCCGCGTCGGCAGACGGCGCCGGCTTGCCCAAGCCGTCTGCGTCGGCGGGGCGGGACGGCTTTGATGCGGGGGACGCGGCCGCTGCGCTCAATGCGCTGGCCGCCGCTGCCTGGAACCTGGATGAGGAGGGGGATGCGGAGATGGAGGAGGGGGAGGCCAGCGGCAGCTGGGCCAGCGAGGGCGAGGAGGGCAAGAGCAGGGCTCGCGTGCAGCGCCGCCGCCCCGCCGTGCGACGGCCAGCCGGCGGCCGGGGCGGCGATGGCGGCGCCGCGGAGCCGCGGGCCGCCGGGCGGCGGCAGCGAGCCGCCAAGCTGTGGTGCCGCCACCCTCTGGACGCGGCGCAGTGGGCGCTGGTGCTCAGCCAGTCAGCCATCGACAGCCGCAACATCTCGCTGCCATGGACCAACCCCGGTGAGGAGCGGCGGCCGAGAGCAGAGCGGGCAGGCCGTGCTGCCGACACTGGCGCCGCCGCCTGCATGCCGACTGGATTGGCTGGGCACGGAGGGGCACCCTGTCATCCTCCACTCCGGGCGGTGCTGCCCGCGGCAGGCGCCCGCCCACCCACCGCCAGCCTATTGGGCCTCATCCTTGTTCTCTTGCTTGCCACTGTGGCGGCTGCCTCCACACCCTGCAGGCGACATGGCCGCGGAGCTGCTGGGGGCGGCGTGGGTGGAGGCGGTGAGGGTCAAGCAGCAGCTAGGCACCATCCGGGAGGCGGCAGGTGGGCGGGCGGGGCAGGGGCCGGGGCATGGGGCTCATTGGGTGGAAGGGCGCCAGCTGAGCGCACCCACCCTCGGCTGCCTGGCTCTCTGCGGTCCTTGCAATGAGTGCGTTCCTCTGCCCCCACGGGCTGCCCTCCACACCGCCCGCATCTCTCTCGCGCTGCCCCCTGTGCTCCCCCTGCAGTGCTGGTGGAGGGCAGCGAGGGCGGCGAGGGCGGCGGGCGGGAGCGAGAGGTGGTGTATGCGCTGTATTCCCGCACAGACCCGCGCAAGGACACGCGCCCGCAGTACATAGAGGTACGCTGCCTGGCTGGCTGGCTGGCTGGCTGGCTGGCTGGTGGCTGGCTTGGCGGGCTGGCGGGCTGGTGGCTGGTGTGGCCTGTGAGTTGGAGGGCGGGCAGGGGGCTGACATGGCCTGCCTCTCTGGATAACCGGCAATGCCCTGCTGCCTGGCACGCCCTGCCGTCTCCACTCCATGCTCACACTCGAGCCTGGCTCCCCCCCCCCCCCCCCAAAA